GACCTCCTGTTCATCACAGGCCACCAACACGGCCCAGCATCCACACACTAAACCCAACAACTGAAATAAGACCAAAGTATTACAGCCCTCCGGAGACTAAACTATTATGGACCACAGGCAAAGAAGAGACGGCACCAAGATGCACCAGTGCTTGGTTTCCCCTGTCTTGGCTGGGAAATTATTGAATGAGATATAGGCTGATAATCCTAGCAAATGACCTACATGCACATGCTGCAGAAGAAGGCGAAAACTGCCCAAGGTCACTGCCAATCTGATATGGGGGACAGTTCCTTCCTGACCCCACATACGGCAGTCAGTCAGACTCTGAGTATGTGAGCAAGAACTAGCTAGCCAGCCAACCACCTGAGAGAGATTGGTGCCACCTCAGAGCCCTGGTCCACCCCATCAATGTCCTATCTCAAGCCATGGCTATCCCTGATGCTTCAGAGGAAGGAGATTACAAAAATAAACTCCTAGAGCACGTTGTGGGGGAAATCCCTTCCTCACCCTTGCTGGTGGCCGGCTGAATTCCTGAAGCATGAGCTTTAGGAACATAAGGCACAAACCAGAAGAGAGTACCAATCCCCTGTCATACAATTGCACTTATACGTTTGTCTAGCTCTCTTACAACTAAACAAACTGTTTTGCCCCCACAACTCCTATTGGGAGACTGTTCCAGAACCTCACCCCGCTGATGGTTAGCATTTACTTCTAATTTCCAGCCTGAATTTGTTCATGACCAGTTTATATCCATTTGTTCTTGTGCCAACATTGCCCTTTAGCTTAAATAGTTATTCACCATCCCTGCTATTTACCCCTCCAATGTGTATATAGAGAGAGTAGTTGTATCACCTCTCATCACTTATACAGGTATCCTTGAAAGGTAATGGCACTGGTGACATTTCTTGTGAACATTGTTATCATCTTGTTCATCATTTGATCTGTGTTGAAAGTGCCTGGATTACCATAGTTTTCATTGCGTTGCATGTACACAGTTCTGTGCAGGGAATATAGTTCTAACTACAGACCCAATTGATTGTGCAGTGTCCCCTACTGGTACAGGCATTAATAAGGTGTTGTAGAAGCTCAGATACCATTGGGCCCTTGAAGAATACAGGAAGTAATTAGTCACCCACATTTTTCCATATCTGTTGCAATGGTGATCCAATATCAGGTTTACCTGTGTGGAAAGACATCCAAATCTTTGTTTGCCAAAAGATGTTCCTTTTAATATGACCTTAAAAACTGGCCTCACATGGTGGGAGTTGAGCTAGTGACTTGTTCTTTTTGATGGTGAGATTGAGGTGCAAGCAATTCAGGTTCTTGTGGGTCTCCTTTTCTTTCTTGCTCTGATAATACAGAGCTGCCACCAATTTCCTTGCTGCAGAAACTGCAGTTTGTCCATCACTTTCTCCCAATTTGGCAAGATCTCCTAAGCAGTAAGCTCCTTTTGTTTTAACAACATTTAACATGGATTCCCCCCCTTTCCCCAATACCAAATAGGGATGATCATGTCACATGCTGTTAATGTGTGTACAGCAGGAAGTATGTTGCAGAAGTCAGGAGTGAGTGTCACAAATTGCATGCACAGGTATGAAGCAATGCTTGTCAGTTGTGCTGGTCTTGGTACCTGTTTCAATCCAACAGGTTATCTCTATGTTCCATTTTTGGAAATAGGTGAACAGCATAAGTGTCGGGTGACCTAACTACTATGGTTCCTTTGACATCAAGAGACCCTGAATCATCCTTGTGTCCACTTCCTCCTGAGTACTGTATAAGTCTTGGGCTTCTTCAGCACCCCTACTGGGGATGGACTTTGCTAATTTCCTTTGGAAAACCTCCAGCAAGAGGGGTGTTTGTGCTGTGTGTACTCCTATGCTCTCAGGTGCATTTTGAACCATATATTCACAGAGGAATTTACAAGTGACTGCTTGTTGGATGCCTCGTTTAAAAACTCTTTCCATGAAGTCCACCAATCACCTGGCATTTCTTACATCCAATTTCCGATCCTGTCCAGCACTGTCTTTTTCATCAGTTTTCAGAGTTACTGTTATGATACCTCTCAAAAACTTCAGTTACAGAATTAGGTTTGCCAGATCCTTTTAGGACCTGCCTCTAGTACTCAGCAGCCAGTTCACTGAATGTGTGGAATTTGTCTCCAGCCATAATTTGTATGACAGCCATGGCACCTATGATGTACACTATCGTTTCTTTGTTGCATGCTCTTAGCTCATATATTCTTTCAGCTTAAGCCTCCAGCTGCTGCACTAATTCAGCTTTGCCTGTTCTGTTCATTGTTTCATGAGCATGGAAGAGGGACATAGGCACAGGTCCCATTGGGTGACTAATAACAGTCAACACTGAAACATCATCTCTGGATTTTGCTAATGAAAGGGCTCTCCAGAAAACAGTTTCTGGACTGATAGCTGCTGTGATTGTCCTTCCTCTCCCTTGCCAGACTTAAATTTGGTCGTCTTGGCCACGTTAGCAAATGTTTTGATGCCAGATTTCTTGACTGGGCTGAAAAAGCCACATGTCCCATCATAATGAAGCGCACCTCTCACAAATCTCCCCATTTGTTCTTCACCAACATTTGCTATTTTCAGTAGAGACTCTTGTACATTTACTACATCCAGTCCAGTAAATATGTCAATAAGCACCTCTGCATGTGATTCAGGGTCTAATGAGTTTGTCAGATTGTTGATGACATGGTTGGTAAGAGCTATAACATGCTTTTCATCCCTCTTCATTGCAGAGGCGTGGACTTTGTCTTCACTATTTCTTTTTATGTCACATCTTTCTGTCATAGCTTTTGCATATTCATAACATGAAGCTGTGTATTGCCATCTCTAACGCTAATACTGACCTGTGCATAAGTGTCACTAAAAAACTAATTTCTAGAATAGTTCAAAGGCTAGTACTGCATTCATAGGCAATTAGAAATTAAAACAGGTTACCAGGCAGACTAGATGGTACATAGTACGTTCATAAGCTTACAAATGGAGAAGCATTATGTTAGGAATTCATGTAGATTTATATCTACCCACTGTGCAGTACAAACTACTGGTGCACAGTCTTCAGTGTGAATCTGATCTGATCAGCAAATTTCAACTGAAAATATAGAAAACTATTATCACTTGTGAGATACTTTGACAATTAAGAATATAAGATGTGAAAACATTTCATGTTAATATACTGCAAACAGTTGATATTTGCCATTTTTGCCACATGCCAAATAGCTTCATTTTGGGAGTGGCGGGAGGAGATCTTGCCCATGCAAAAACAATAAAAATATTTTAATACATTGTTGTTCAGTAGCTTTGACCAACAAATACCACACTATGGTGTTGAAATTAACTGAAATCATAAAAAGTGTAGTTGTCATGTTCGTTTTTCTGGAACTGTGTGCAAAAAATGACTTTTTTTTTAATTTTGGATACTATCGTTTCACCTTTTCCACAGGCTTATGGCACCAACTGACAGCTCCACATCATACTTAATCAAAATGTACATAAAATAAGCTTTTAAATGATATATGATGTGGATTTATATATGATGGGTACATTAAATTCCAAAAATATGACCCTTTTTGGGGAATTGCCACATGCCTACAGATTTTGAAATGACTAGTGGCTTCCAGCCACCAGAATTCAGTAATAGTGGCAGTAGTTTGAGGCTTTGGAGCAGAGGGAAATTTGAGAAGAAAGTCCCCCTCCCCCCCCCCCCCCAACTCCCAGTGCCTCGAAGAAGCTAGAGTTGCATGTTTTAAGGAATAAAATTGTTCAGACATAATAATTTTAATCTACAGCCAATAGAAAATGACTAAAATATAATATTACATTTAAAACAAAACTACATTAACAGAATACTAAAGTTGCAGAATCAATTCCTCAAAAGTTAGCAATTAAGAATTGCCAGAATTAAGGTTACCTGTGCAACTTTAATTCAGCCCTCTTTTGAGTATGCATTATGATACAGTCTTTAATTACAAAAACATATATTTTCCACAGGACCTCTGCCTCTTTCATCACACAGGATGGTCGGGGCTCAGGGTATGAATCAGGTGTACATAATAAATAAGGCTGTTGTCTGTAGGATCCCTGCCTCCATTTGTTGCAGAAGTTAGACATGAATGGGGCTGGGATTGCAGGAAGAGGAAGGATGGTCTCATGAGTAAAGTAGTTGGTTGTTCCCCCAGATCATTGAGTTCTGCCTGTCCCTCTGGCACAGAGTTCTTGTATGATGGTAGGCATATCATTGAAACCAGATTTTTCACAAGTGGTCAGGAATTGTGTTCCCCCAGCTTTCTGAGTGCTCCACTTGAGACCCTGGAGTCTGATTTGCAGAAGTGTTGAGCACACAAAGCACTTTAAGTTTGTTAATGGGAACTGGTACATTTAACATATAAAGTGCTATATAAAATAATAAATACTTAGAAAAATTAGGGCTTAGTCACCTAGATATCTCAAGATGGAAACTCAAGTCAAAATTAGGGGACATGACAACTTTGGCCTTAATCTCTCTGTGCTTCAGTTTCCCCATCTTTAAAACAGGAATAATATCACCTTGATATTGGTGGTGTGAAGATACATTTATTCAGATTCTTATATTTAAGTTAAACTGTATAATTGCTTAAATAAATGCGGTAAGATATAGTATGTCCTCCTGGTTAGCAGAAAGCACCAAATTTAGTGTAAAAGCTATATTTAGTTGCATATCAACATATCTGATAGGTTGGTTCTCATTGGTCAGTAACCAATCTTTAGGAAAATAACTAAAAAATACAAGTGAAAAAAAATAAACTACTTAAATGAAAGTTGCCTTATTGTTGATTTAAATCACTTCACTTTAAATCAATCCAACATGGTTTTTAGGGCTTCTCGGCTACCAGTCCCCTCCTTTTATAGGTCATATGCTTTCTATATTGGGGGATTGTATTTTTAGTATCATAAAAAAATTGGTGTTCATAATATTATACTGTACTCTTTGTTTTCTCACAGGCACCAAGCATAGATGAAAAAGTAGATCTTCACTTTATTGCGTTAGTTAACGTAGGCGGTCATCTCTATGAATTAGGTAAGAACACTTTATTTCATTGCTCTGGAAACAGGTCAGTGTGGTGATCTTGTCAGTTATAATCAAGAATGTTACCATTAAAGTTACAATAGATCGTTTGACTTTGGTTTAAGATAGGTTCAAGTTCTGTTAGCTGTATTATCATTATTTCTTGTGTTTCTGCCAAAAATAATTAAACATTCTTCCTGTTGATTTCTTCCCCCCCCCCCCCTAAAAGAAGGTTATGTAATCAGGGCCGGATTAACTTTTTCTGGGCCCAATGCCAAACATATTTTGGGCCCCCATGGGGCAAGGTGCAGGGGGGCCGGATGCAGTCTCCAGAGTGAAGGGCGGGCTGGGGCAATGAGGCACAGTGCGGCGGGAGCAGCCCCCTGCTGCAGTCTCCCTCGGGAGCGGGCTTGGGAGGGGGGGAAAGGGGCGGAGGGGGGGAGGGGCTGAGTTGGCAGGGGATCGGGCTGGCCGGGGCCCCTTCTGACTCTGGGCCTGGCGCCATGGTAAACCTGGTACTATATGTAAAATGAAGATACTATAAAGGGCAGGATACAAACTACCATTGCTGGAAACTAGTCTGACTCAACAAAATTATGGTCCTAATCAGGAAAACACTTTTACTTCAGTTCCGTTTTTTTTTTGGGGGGGGGGAGATTGGGTAGGGGAGTGCGAGGGGGTTGGCTACTTTGATGAATGTCATTGAATTATTTATTATTTTTCTTTGATTTTTTTTTTCCATGCTGAACAGTTCAAATTATAAATTCTAGCTAGAGCCATGTTACTGAATTCCAGTATAGTCAGAATCAAAACGTGCTGTGTGAAGGATAGCATACCAATAGGGTTACCATATCTCATAAATGAAAAAAGAGGACCCTCCACGGGCCGTAGCCCCGCCCCAACTCCGCCCCTTCCCCACCCTAACTCCGCCCCCTCCTCCCTCCCACTCCCAGCCAGGGGGAAAGGGCTACCCAGTGCTACCGGCTTCATGGTTTGCCGGGCAGCCCCCAGACCCTGCGCCCCCAGCCGGCGCTTCCCCAGCGCAGCTGGAGCCCGGGAGGGGAAGCGCCCAGCCGGGGGCACAGGGTCTGGAGGCTGCCCGGCAAACCGTGAAGCCGGTAGCGCTCGGGCTTTGGGCAGCCCCTATGCCTCCGGACCCTGCGCCCCCAGCCGGGCACTTCCCCGCCCGGGCTCCGGCGGCGCAGGGTCCAGAGGCACGGGGGCTGCCCGAAGCCGGTAGCGCCGGCTCGGGGCGCCTTGCGCCTAAAACAAGACGCACGC